CATCTCTAATTCTGCATCCTTATCCTCACTCTCCTGCCCCTCCAGACCTCCACCGTCGTGCTTCTCAGTCAGGTGTTTGCTGAATTGGATGTGTGACTAGTATAGGGACATGGAGCGTCAGTAAACCAAGGATGAAGCCACAGTGTCTTTGATTTTCATTTATTGATTTCACTTTACAGGGACTCCTTAGAGCTGAAAAGCGCAGAGCAACTCAGCCTCACGTCAAAAGCAGGTTGCACCAGACAACAGTCTCATCCAGGTTAAAAATGAACCAACAGCCTGTGAAAGACCAAAAGGCTCCTTGGATCCCTCCAAACCCCACATCCCCACCAGCTTCCCCTAAATGGTAAGTAAACATTCAAGGGACCATGCCAGTGACCTTATTTTTTCCCACAGGCCATAGGTTACTTAAAACGTAGAGCAAATAAGACAGCAGATTTAGTTCCCATTAAGGAGACAACTTATTAGGGTGAGTGTGATGTCAGAAGTTTTTGCCCAGAAGCCTTGTGGTTCCTTGTTTCCACCTGCCTTTGGTTTGAGCTCTTCTTCATGGACCACCCCATCACCCTGTGCATGGTCATTATATGGAGGATCATGGACTTCTCTTCACTTGTTTCCTTTCACGGTGGGCTCTCGGTACTTGAGACCAGGGACAGTGCCCTTAGATCTGTATATCTCATGCCTAGCTCATGGCCTAACAATTAGTAGACATTCAGTAGGTCTTTGCTGAGTGATTAAATATTTTTAAAGAACTCCAGTTCCAAAGCAAGATCCTTATAATTTATAAAACTCTACCAACCTCATAGAAAGTGTCCTAGCTTCGGGGACGGGACTATTTTGTTTCCCTCGTTCAGAACTCATTGAGGAGGAGGAGCCAACGTTCCAAAGTGTTCCCAGTGACAGGAGGTTACTGTCCTCTAGAGAAGCCAGGGTCTGCTTAGGTGGAAATCATCTTTGGGGAATTGGTTAAAGGCTATGGGACAGTAGCTCTAGAAAGCACAGTGGCTGGAAGGAAGCAAGCAAAAAGCAGTGATGTGGAAAGGAGAAGGAGAGAGGTTGTCAGAAGATAAGATGAGTATCACCTTCAGATTTGAAATGAGTCGCTGTGTTTATCCACCACCCTCCATTTTTAAGTTGAAGAAACAGTGTTTCGAGAATTTCATGCCTTGTTCAAATAGCAGGGCTGGAACTGAAACCAGATCTTCTGATTTCATAATGTACTATTTGGTCTTTATGACTGTTTAGATTTCTGTGTTTTTATATGAGTGTTAATGCAGAGACGTGACTACAGTTTGTAAGCCCATAAATAACAATGATGCTCTGAGGTGTATGTTGCCAAGCAGCTGTAAGGTGCGATGTCTTCTAGAGTACAGGTGTGAGGGATGGGAGGGAGCGGATCAGGTGTCTAGGCTCATAGTGCTGTGTGAGGATTTGAAACGTGCAGTTACTTTGTAACAAAGAATGTAAAATTAGTGATTCAAATGTGTACACTCTTAACAGGGGGCAGATGATAACAAAAGATACGTATACTTTTCAATTTAATTGTTCAGTGCTGCGTGGACAAAGGTGAAACATAGCCCCAAAGATGCCACCAAAGACCAGTCTCTCCAGCAAGAAGAGGCTCCAGGGGAGAGTCATTTGCATGGTGCTGTTGAACACGAAGCCATCAGGTTTGTACTGGCATCTCAAAGCTTGCAAGGTTGAAGGCTTCTTTTAGTATTTATAGGGTCACTGTGAGTCAGAAGGGAGCATGGTGACTCATAGAATAAGCACTGGACTGTGAGCCTCAAGGTTGGTGGTTCAAGTCCACCAGCTGCTCTGTGGGTGGAGGAGGAGGCTTTCTGTTCCTGCACGGATTTACAGCCTTGGAAACCTTACACATACAGGGTTGTGATGAGTCAGAACTTTCAAGATTCTAAAGTAAACCCTAAGGGGCTCTGTAGCTTAGTGGTTACGAGTCAGGCTGCTAACCTCACGGTCAGCAGTTCAAAACTACCAGCAATTCTACTGGAGAAATATGAGGCTTTCTGCTCTCGTAAAGATTTATAGCCTCAGAAACCCTATACAGGGTAGCTATGAGTCGAACTGACTCCACGGCACATAATCATCCCCCCACCAAAGTAAAACCTGTCTTTCCTATATCTGAAATTTATTAAATTGTGGACTACCACATGTTTTTGTCTCATGTATACAGCTTACATTGAAGCCCTCTTATTCCTTTTTATTTCATTCATTTAAAAATTACATGGATATCAGTTTTATGTATTTGCTTGTTTTGTACATGGCACATTGTAAGTTGTATGGAGGCTTTGTTGTTGTTAAGTAACATCCAGTTCGTTCTGACTCATAGCATCCACAAGATTTCTGTATAAGGTTTCTGAGGAGCAGTTGGTGAGCTTTAACAGCCGACCTTGCAGTTCTAACCAACTTTGCAGTCCAGCGCATTAGCCTGCGGTGCCACACCAGGACTCCAGGCTTTAAAAGAGGGTAAATAAGACATAACTCCAACCCCTGCTAATTCACAGCCATTAGAGAAAATAAGGCACATAATGAATTATAATTTAAGGTAGACTCTGGTGTATTCTCTAAGGAATAAAGAGTTAAGAACCCAGAGAGTATAGAAGCTGGAAAATTTATTGCTTGCTCTGGAAATCTGGGCAGGCTCCATGGAGGGAGATGGAAATTAAACAAGGACTTGGATTTAGATATGGTGAGGAGGCGAGAGCAGTGAATGGTGAAAATAGGCTGGGATAGGGGGATTATGTACAGAGTGAAAGGTAGTTTCCTTGGGCTCAAGCACAGGCTAAGTAAAGGGAAAAGGCAACAGGAAGGGGAAAGGCAAGAGGAGCTTAGGAGTTTGGACTCTACTGCAGGGCTCCCCCTGCCTTTGGAGGTTTGTAAATTCTGGTTGAGTTACAGAAACATGAATCTGACAGGTGTGGTAGGTGGGCTGGAGAGTAAATTCAAGAGAAGGAAGCCAGTTAGACTGTCTCACAAATCTGAATTCCCTTCAGGACCTAATCAAGAGCTGTGGGACGCAGGAGAATAGAGACAGGGGCTGGGCTCAGATAGAGAAGGAAGGAGCAAGAGATCCCCACTGCATTCTTTCCTCCTTTCACTCAGCAGACACTTAGGGAGCCCCTGCTGCCGCCGCATTGTCCCTGATGCTGGGGCAGCTCAAGGACCAGTATGACATGCCCTAACCCAGGGGCACAGGCAAGGGAAGAACACAGACATAGAAACAGTCCCAACAGACTTGGGGAATGCACTAAGAGAGAGATAGCTATGAAGTGTCTAAGTTCCTGTGGAGGAGCTGCGGAAGCCTGCTCAGGGGTGACAGTGTATAGTAAGCACCTGCTGTGCTGTATGACATGTGAGAGAGAGACAGGGAGGTGAAGAGCCAGCAAGGCCTTCCTCTGACTATTGTTGGGGATTGTTAACCAAAGGAGTTCCTCAGGCTGTCCTTTCATGGAGGCAGCCATCTTGGTACCACACACAGACCAGTGTGAAGGCTGAGTCTGCAAGTGTCCCCAGCCACTGGAGATGATGCAGATGTGGCCGCTGCCCCACTGAGGTCAGTGTGTCCTCCTGAAAGAATGGTGAGGGTTTAATACTTTAACAGGAAGGGGCACTGGGTTGAGGAAGGCTCCCCACCTCAGTCCATGGATGGCTCAGCAGCTTCTAGACTTGCCCCAGGTGCACTGACTGATACGCCTTCCGGTGGTGGTGACCTTCAAGGCTACATAGGCAGTCTAGTGTGGTTCTTGATTGCCAGCTGCTGCAGCTTCTCTGCAAGCTTCTCTGGGGAGCCTAACAGCCACCCCCCTTCTTAAAGTCTTGAATACTTATCTTTTACAAAGTGAAGCAATTTTCATCTGGATAGCATTTTCTTTGCCTCTGGTATTCTTCTGTCATTGGTGCTCTGCATTTGTGTGGCTGAAAATGCGCTTCATTTACCAGAAAGCAAAATGAAAGTGGACCATTAAATGATCTGAGACTTGTCACATGTACTAAATTAAAAGTCCAAACCGTTTCATATACACTCAATTTGTTCAGTGTTAACTTTTTCTCTTGTTTTTTTGGACTTTATTGTACCCACTAGACTCCCGAGAGTCCCATTTTTTTTTTTTTTTTTTGTCTAATAAGCCCGAAGATGTAGCAAGGGTTTTATTTGATAGTGGAACAAGAGGGCTAGTTTTCCGGAGAATATTTGTAAGCAGTTTCTTGTTTGCTCTATGCACTAGCTAGGAGCGGTTTTGCACGTTCCAGTGTTTTAGAAGGTCCAGAGGTCCTGTTACTTACTGAGCAAGACTGGGGCAGTGGTTTGTTTCTATGGTAAGGATCCTCTGTAGCTTCAAGGCTTCAGTTGATTTAACTCTTTTGGTACTGCTTGCTAGGCTCGCTTGGCTTGATGTTGAAACTTCCAAAAGACTGACAGAACTAGAAGAATTAAAAAACAAGGAAATGGACAAAATACAGAAATGGAGGTAAATATCTGTTTCCGAGATAGGAAACAATGAGCAGGCTCTTCTAGAACACCTAGCTGCCATAGCAGCGACTCCAGACTGTGTCGGACTAGCCACACTTGTTGTGTTTGTTGAAGGGAGTCACCTACAAAGCCTGCATTGGAGCCAAGATGGGAGCCAAGGCAGTTCTGACCCTCTACCCTCTTCTCTCGGGTGAAACCAGGCCAGCTCTGGCGCAGGGCCATGTGACTGTTTGTGCTATTTGCTAGGCTCGATTGGCTTGATGCTGAAACGTCCAGAAGAACAAAGGAACTGAATGAACTCAAAACTGAAGAAATGGATCGACTCCAACAATTGAGGTATGTGTTTGCTTCAGAGAAAGCCTAGGGAGTGCTTGCTTAGACTGTTCATCACTATGTGATTGACTGGGGGAAGCAGTGAATGCCTGCATGCCTGTCTGGATGTGAGGGCTTCAAGCAGTTTGTGGAAAAAGTGAATGAAAAGGTAACAGCCTTCTTGTCTGCTATATAGTGTTTGGAGTAGGGAATGTTTTTTTTTTTGGTGGAGTTTGGAGGAGGACTGAAAAACATCTACAATTTGGAGGATATCCCATTTGAAAGATCAGAGCCCTGTATCTGTTAATTTGTGCTACCTGCAAAGGTAGTTTTCTCAGGCTAGATGCTAGCCCTTCTAAGGGCAGAAGATGGTGTAGATGTTTTGTTCCTGTAATTGAATTTCTGCTTTACATGTTGACTTGAATACAGTCTAAGGTTTTTATAATGAGGTGGCCTTTTTCCATTCACTCCTTGAGTATTGCCGCCTACTAGAGGCAGAAAGAAGTTTGTAAGACTTCCTTTACGCTCCTCCTGAAATGGGTTCATTTGTTTCAGCTCTGAGGTTCCTGGAAATAAGTGTATGCCTTTTACAGTCAGCCTAGACCATTCCGTCCAGATTAGCAGGACTGTGCTTCTGTCATTAGAATGCCCAGGGGTTGTGTCTACAGTTAGATTTGGAGTCAGACAATCACAGGCTGGTAGGACTGGAAGGATCTTTCCCCATGTGATGCTCCAGTCTCCCTGTTCTGTCGCCATTCATGCACACCCCACTGATAGGGTGGCCACCCACCTAATGCCACAAGCTGTTCCATGGCCATCTCTGGCTATTAGAATGTATGACCCTCAGTTGTGCTGAAATTTAATTCCCTGTGACTCCTATCCAGTTGTTCTCGAAGCTATATCACAAACACTTCATCCTCTGTACCTCATTGATCCCCCCCTTTTTTTTTTAATTTAAAGCAGTACATTTTGCATGTTGAAGAGCCTACTAAGTGTATGTGTACTGTTTGAAATACCAGAACAAACACCCATGTTACCTCCACAGCAAGCCAAGAAATCAGTGATGAGCTCTACTTTGGCAACTCCCTGTGTGCCCCGCCCAACCCCACCCTGCAGAGACAACCACTGTCCTGATTCCTGTGCTCTCTTCTCATGGCCTTCTTCTTCACAGACTTACCACCTGACTCTACATCCCTCACAAGAGGATGTTTCAGTTTGACTGAGAAGCAGTCTTGAACCTCTTTACCCAAAGAAAGGGTGATATCACTGGTATTATATGAAGAACCCCAGGGGAACACAGGCTGAACAGAGTTGGGATCATAATAAGATTGCAGCCAAGGACACACTATGGGGCAGTTCTTCTCAGTGACGGAGGGTCGCTATGAGTTAGAACCGACTCAACAGCACATGTGACAACAGAGGGAGGTTGTAAGTGAACCAGGTGCACAGGACTCCAGGAAAGAACTTGAGCAACGCTTTTCTGAGACTAGTAGCTGCACCGTAGTTGTTTGCTCATGAGCTTTTAAGACTTTACTTGCTACTCAACAAAATAGGGTATAGAATGTTGTGTTTGTGAACTCCATTATGCCAGGGTGACCATGGTGTCTCTGAAGACAGTATTTGTTTCTTGTCTTTGACTTTTTCGCTCAGCAAACTATTTATGAGATTCATCCATACTGTGCGTCTGTGGAAACGTTGATCCTGCTGTGGTGTGCCACCGAGTCGATTCCGACTCACAGCAATGCTTTCTGAGGAGCAGCTCATGGGTTTGACCTGCTGATCTCTGGTGTGTGGTCTAGTGCTGATCCTACTACAGTTCATGCCATTTTATTGCTGAGCAGTATTCCATTGTCTGAAAAGCCTACACTCTTTTGGGGTTGTTTCCAGTTTTTTGTCAGTATGACTACAGCTACCGTGAACATATCTTGTAGACCTATACTTTCGTTTTATACTCCCATCACCAGGGCAGGGGAGTTCCTTTCTAGTTGTTCTACGTCCTCACTAACATTTGTCAGTCTTCTAGTGAACGTGTCGTGGTACCTCATTGTGACTTTCATGTTCCTGGAAACTAATGAGTGAGCACCTCTACTTGTGCTTATTGTGAAGTCTTTGACAGAGAACTTCCAGAGGTGCAAGCTGGGTTCAGACAAGGACGTGGAATGACAGATATCCTTGCTGATGTCAGATGGATCTTGGCTAAAAGCACAGAATACCAGGAAGATGTTTATTTGTGCTTGATTGACAATGCAAAGGCTTTCAATTGTGTGGATCAGGACAAGTTATAGACAACATTGTATAGAATGAGTATTCTGGAACACTTAATTGTGCTTTATTTGTTTGAACAGAACAAGGGAACAACAAATGGTTTAAAATTAGGAAACGTGTGTGTCAGGTTGTATTCTTTCACCGTACTTCTTCCGTCTATATACTGAGCACATAATCTAAGAAGCTGGGTTGTATGAAGAAAACCATGTTATCTGGATTGGAGGAAGACTCATTAGCAACCTGTGGTATGCAGATGTTCAACTTTGCTTGCTGAAAGCGAAGAAAACTTAACAGCGAGATGGACAGGTGTAGCAATGACTGTGAGGTTGGTGCAGGGTCTGGCAATGTTTCGTTTTGTTGTGCAGAGGGTCTCTGAGTTAGTACCGACTTGCTGGCACCTAACGACAACATTCAAGTCTTTTTGCCCATTTTTTGTGGGGCTATTTGCGTTTTCTACTTTTGACTTATGAGAGTTCTGTGTTCTCTGGATATGAGTCCCTTGTCAGGTATACATACAGCAAATATTTCCTCCTAATGCTATGGCTTGCCTGTATATCTTCTTAAGGGGGTCTTTTAATACGTAGAAGTTTTAAATTTTGACTCAGACCAGTTTATAACTTTTCCTTTTGCAGTTAGGTGTGTGTGGGTGGGCTAAGAAATCCTGCCTCGGCTGAGATCTCCATAGCTACTTTAATCATCTTAATTCTTTGCTTGCCTCTAAATGCATGAGAGTTTTCACTTTCATTTTTAGGTCTGTGATCTATTTTGAATTACTTTGGGGTATGAGATAAGATTGTCTTCTCAGGGGTGCTGTTTTTCCTTACCATGTCTGGTGACTTCAGCACCATCTCATGAAAGGGTTATTAAAATGGAGCCTTACTCTAGGGTAGGGGTGGGGAACCTCCAGCCCGTGGGCCATATGTTGTTGTTGTTAGGTGCCACTTCATAGCGACCTTATGCATAGCAGAACAAAACACTGTCCAATCCTGGGCCAACCTCACTATTGCTGCCATGCTTGAGTCCATCGATGCTGTCACTTCGCCAGTCCATCTCACTGGGGGTCTTCCTCTCTTTCTCTGTCCCTCCACCTTACCAAACATGATATCCTTCTCCAGCGACTGGTCCCTCCTGACAATATGTTCAAAGTATGCGAGATGAAGTTTGGCCTTCTTGGCCTCCAAGGAGCACTCTGGCTGTACTTCTTCCAACACAGATCTGTTGGTTCTTTTGGCAGCCCATGGCACTTTCAGTATTCTCCTCCAACACCATAACTCAGAAGCATCAATTCTTCTGTGGTCTTCCTTATTCATTGTCCAGCTTTTGCATGCATATGAGGATGGCTTGGGTCAGGCGCGCCTTAGTCCTGAAGCTGACATATTTGCTCTTCAATACCCCAAAAAGCTCTTGTGCAGCAGATTTGCCTGATGACATATAAGGCCCGTGAAATCATTTGGTGGGTGGACTCTTTGCTAAGGACCCTAATGTTGGTCTTTAGGTCTTTCCTTTGGGGCTGGTCATATTGTCCAGAGAAGAGTCTTCAGTCTCCTGCCTGGAGAGTGAGGGTCTAGATGCCAATGTTCTAAGAGCGGAATTGGGGAGAACTGGTGAGGATTACCATTCATTATTCAGTATGCACACATGATTCCTCCTTTGTAGGTACGTACAGCCAGAGTCCCCTAGGCAAGAGACTCTCTGTTTCGTCCTCTTGAGAGAAGAAGCAGCCAAACCACTCTCAGAGCTGGGAGAGGGATTGCCTACTTGTATGAAGAAGGGAGGGGATGTAATGCCCAAATACTATTTGACTCTTGTCTTCTGTACTTAAGCCTCCGCCTTCCCCTGATTACACGCAGATCTAGAGGTACCTGGTACTGCCAGTTCTGAGCCTATTTAGGCCAACAATACACATTGTATTGGTTCTGGGGTTTTCTCAGTGTTGTGTGCCATCGAGTGGATTCTGACTCAGAGCAGGCTACCTGCCTGGAATGTAGCTTTCTCAAATTAGCTAAGTTATCATTTTCATCCTTCTGTTTTCCAGCACCAATGTGTTTGCTTTTTTGCTTTTGTGTCCTAATGGATTTATGTCTAAAAAGCAAAATCTCTAGTTTTAGTGGCACTTTGGGAGAGAGCAAAGTGTACTCAGAACCAAACATAACTTCTTTGGATGTTACCTAAACTTGTCCTCAAAGTATGGTCCGGGACTGGCGGCTGGCAGTACCGCATCACCTGGGAGCATGTTGGCAGTACAGGATTCAGCCCTCCCTGAGCCCAACCGAATCGGAACCTCTACTTCAGCAGGACTCCCAGATGATTTGTGTCATCATTAAAGTTGAAAATGCACTGTGGTTTTTATAATCATTTGGTTTACCCTCCCTTGGAGTAGTAAATAAATTTACAACATTAGGAGACTTTCTTTTTTTTTTTTTTATTAATGCTTTATTGTGAATTATGTGATAGTTTACATGGGAGGACATCAGCTTCACATTGATCCCATTGTATATCGTTTCCTTGCCATGGTAACAATCCCCTCCATGCATCATTCATCAACCAAAGGGTATACCCTGCAAGCCTGCCCCCCAGTCATCCGCAGACCGCCTCTCTCCCTCACCAGGTCCAAAGTCTCCAGCCGCTCCATCTCCCCACATCATCTCTGCCTCCATCCCTGGTATCACTGCTTCTCTGGGTAGGGTTCTGTTCTCCGCTCTTCTCCTTTGATGGTCCCAGGAACCTCTGCTCCTACACGGCAAGGTTAATCACTCCCCACTCCCTTTGCCTCAAAATGTCTACCTTTACATTCCCAGTCCTTACAATCAGTCCTGATAATTATTCGCTATTGTATCCCAAGAGACCTATTCGCATCTCCTTTCATCAGCAACATTAGACTTCCTTGCATTTGGTTTTAATTTTCAATTTTGTTTCTAAATAGTGTTTCTGCCACCCAGCTAGCAGACAAGGTAGAGCAAGCAGTCTTGGGACGTCTGAAGCCTCTACTGCTCAAGGCCCAGGTAATCAGCTTTCTCGGATTTGCCTGCTTTGGGGAGTTTTAGAATCAAAAAGTCCTACAGAAGTTACCCTGATCCTTTGTGTGTCTGTGTGTCTGTCTGTCAGCTGGCGACTGCAGTGCTGATCTAGGGCACAAATTAAGGGTGCAATACTCCTTAGACCCCTTTGGGACACCCCTAAACAGCCACATACTACCTGTGTGCCCTCTGCTCTGGGTAAGGATATGATAAGGGGAAGAGAGAGTCCACTACTGAGAAAGGTGGGAATGGAGTTTGGCCGGAGAGTTTAGATTGCAGTTTTGCTTCCTAATCGACGACATGTGTTGATAATGTTAGTGTTCGGATAGCTGCGTTCATCATGATGCTGTGCAGTGAGGTGACTGGCTTTGTTTTCCCAGAGGAGGGCGTTGGTAGGGAAACCTCTGTGGTGTGAAGACAGCATCACATGTGGCATCCCCACACGTGTGCCGTCCTCCTATAAGCAGAACGCCAGAGTCTTTGGCCAGACTGCAGATCCCCTGATCAACAGAAGCTATTTTGTTTGTGTGAATAGATGGGGGAGGGCTCGGAAGAATTGTATAATCTTAAATGGAAATAGTGATGTTCTGAGTCCCTGAATAGGTCACTGAACTTCTGTATTTCCCCTTTACCAAAAACCAAACTAAACCAAATCCATTGTCAAGGCCATTCCGACTCACAGTGCTCCCCACCTGATAGGCCTTCAGAGACTGCAGATCTCTACAGGAGCAGACGGCCTCATCTTTCTTTCACAGAGGGTCTGGTAGGTTTTGAACCACGGGCCCAATGCTTAACCCACAGCACCACCGGAGTTCCTTTTCCTACTTTAAGAACTGTTAAATTGCCGTTTCAGTCCATGGAGACTTCAGGAGTATAGGCCTGGGAGGGCTCTGAGACATCAAATAGGACAGCCTCTTTGATTGATTGATGAGGAAACTGGGGAACAGAGATGTTAGTGACTTGTGTGAATCCATAGGCTGTTCTGATAGTGTTTACAAAGTTGAGGGAAGAAAAAGGACAGAAAGCCAAGTGCAACACATGGCATTTATTTTTATAAAGACAAAGTGCTTTGAATTGCTGCAAAAAAGTCAGTATATCTAGCTAATGCTAATGAATAATTCCACACTGAAGGAGCTGTGGTAACGATTCCACAGGAAAAAGATGAGGCTTTCTGCTCCCGTGAAGATTTACAGCCTCGGAACCGACCCCACAAGCGCACCACCACCACCAGTGCCACATTGGTGGTTCTGTTGGTGGAGTTCATTTGTACTTATAATGAGTTGGACGTTTTATGACCCATTAACATATCTTTCTGTCTTAACAGAAAGTCAATTCTTCTCTGGACCCAAGTGCTCATTTGGAGGATCATCCGTCAGTAAGCACAGTGCCAGCCCAGCCTGCAAAGGAGGTGTGTGTTGTGTGGTATTGATGCCCGGATTGACACGGGGACTGTGACGTGCTGAGGTCTTTGGTTGTTAGTAAATGATACACAGATAAATTACATTGTACACACTAGATCGATCACCCTACTCAAGAGGGGTGGAAATGCTTTTCCCTGTGTGGCATTCTTACGGTGTATAGTTAGTGTTGTGACTAAGACCAGCCTGGCAAACAGCTCACAGAAATCTCCAGATCCACAGATTTTTATGAGCTACTCTTTATGTCTCCTTGGATGACAGAATGTGGGCGCACCGAGTGGCCCTGCATGCTGATATCTGGCAGCAGAGGAAGGGGAGTCCCATTTCCTTTTGTTCAGCCTTGTTTTATTCATTACTAACCTAATTTTCTTTATACTCAGGGCCCAACTTTTCTTGTTAGGCAAACCTATTTTGAGTGCCTGATATGTGCCAATATTTGGACTAGCAGAAAGTAGAGGAACATAAAAACATATATTGTTATACTTCCTTGTATTTGTCCTCTGGGGACTTGTTGCTGTATTTGTTGGAATACACCTACCATGCCGAGGCTCAGGGCCAGGGAGTAGAAAGGGCAAGCTGCAACCATTTGAACTTTAAGGTTGTTGTTAGGTGCCAACGAGTCAGTACCAACTCATAGTGACCTTATGCACAATAGAACGAAACACTACCCGGTCCTGAGCCAACCTCAAAATTGTTGCCACGCTTGAGTTCACTGATGCTACCACTTTGCCAATCCATCTCACTGGGGGTCTTCTTCTTTTTCTCTGACCCTCCACCTTACCAAACATGGTATCAACTCTACTTTGAGGAGGCAGCTCTTCCCCAGTTGCATTTTGAGTGCCTTTCAACCTGAGGGGCTCATTTTCTGGCATTATATCTGACACTGTTTCTCTGCTATTCATAAGGTTTTCAGTGACTAAATATTTGGAAGTACTTCGTCGCTCCTTCCTAGTCTGTCTTCGTCTGGAAGCTCATCTGAAACCTGTCCACTGTGGATGACCCTGCTGGTATTTAAAATACCCGTGGCATAGCTTTTAGAATCACAGCAACTCAAAAGCCACCACAGTACGACAAACTGACAGATGAGTGGTAGGAACTTTGAGGTTAGAAAGATGTTAATTGCTCAGAAGTCTTAGGGGCAGAGCCAGGACACAGATTTTAGGTAGAAAAACATTGGAATGAAGCTCCACCAACCTAGTAACATGGGAACAGAAAGAACATAGATCTCAAAAACGTACCCTAACGTTGTTGTTGTTGTTGTTAAGTTGGTTCCGACTCCTAACGAATATCTGTAGGGTTTCCGAAGAGCAGCTGGTGGGTTTGAACTGCCAGCCTTGCAGTGTAAACCCACCTTATCATTGAGTGCTTATCCTACAGTGCCATGCCGGAACTCCTTATAGCTGCAGAGTATTTTCATAATCTTTGTGATGATCATTTAATTATCCCAGGATTTGTGAGGAAATGTCATGTGAGGTGAGACTCCCCCAACAGGGAAGTCTGCAGATTCAGGTTTGCTGTGGCATGGTGTTTCATATAGAACAACACAGCACAGAAAGATAGTTCTACCTCAGGGAAGTAATGGGAACAGTATCTAACCTTAAGGCAATCCCACACTGTGTTTTTATATGAAAGAAAAAGTGGATGTTTTGGAAGATAAATGGTCAGCATTTGGTCAAAGAATTTAGCCTATAAGCAGTTAAACAGTCTTTACTGTAATTTGAAGTAACTATTGAGTATTTCAAATTCTGGCCTGCTGCTAATACATGAGAATCATTGCAAAGAGTTTCCCAAGCAGCTCCATTGTTGTTGTTGAGTGCCATTGAGTTGGTTCCGACCCATAGCGACCCTGTATAGGGTTTCTGAGGAGCAGCTGGTGAGCTTGAGCCACTAATCTTGTGGATCAAACTGACTTTGCAGTCCAGTTTATTAACCCACAGTGCTACACCTGGACTCCAAGCAGCACCATTAAAAGTCAGTATTTACACTAGGTCAGTTGATGTAACATAGTCGGTACAGATAATGTTCTACATCCTACATTGGTAAGTAAAAACTGGGGTCCTAAAAGCTTACAAGCTTAGTTACAACTATTGGTCTCTTTCTGTCTAGAGCAAAGAAGAATGAAGGAAACCAAAGATTCAGGGGACAGTTAGCCCAGTGGACTAAAAGATCACTTGCACTGTAGCCTCCAGTAAGCTTAGACCAGAATTAGATGTACCCAGACACCACTACCAACCCAGGGCTCCGACCAGGGTCACAACAGAAGGTACCAAATAAAGTAGATGAGAAAGGGAGAACAAAATTCAAAATCCTAACAAAGACCAAACTTAACTGGTCTGATAGACACTGGTGGAAGCCCCAAGACTAAGGCCCTTAGACACTCTTTTCACTCAGAACTGAAGCCATACCCAAAGATTGATCATCTTCAGCCACGTGAAAAACAGGTCTATAAAGTGAACAGTAACACCCGGGAGGAACATACTCCTCAGGGCAATCAGCTATGAGACCAAAAGGGTAGCATTTGCCCAAAAGTAATGTTAAGCCAGGAAGGGGCAGGAAAAGGAGTTGATGAAAATGGGGAACCCAAGGTGGAGATGGGGGGAGAGTGTTGACACATGGAAATTGCAAGCAATGTCACAGAACAACCTGTATATTTATTGAATGGGAAAGTGATTTGCTCTCTCAACGTTCATCTAACCGCACTGAAATACATTTTTAAAGTCAGTATATATATAGACATTTTGCTTGGATCATTTTGCTCGGATCAACCATCAACACTCATGGAAGCAGCAGTAAAGAAATCAAATGATGTATTGCTTCAGGAAAATCTGCCTAAAATTTGCTCTTTGTTGAAGAGCAAAGAGAGCAGTTTGAGGACTAGGGTGCACCCAACCCAAACCATGGTTATTTTTAATAACCTCATATGCATGTGAAAGTTGGACAGTGAATAAGACTAGAAGAATTGAGGCAGTTGAGTTATGGTGTTGGAGGAGAATATTGAAAGTACCTTGGGCTGCCAAAAGAATCAATAGATCTGTGTTGGAAGAAGTACAACCAGAAGGCTCCTTAGAAGCCAGGATGGCCAGACTTTGTGTTTCATACTCCCGACATATTGTCAGGAGGGACCAGTCACTGGAGAAGGATATCATGTTTAGTGAAGTAGATGGTTGGAGAAAAAGAGGAAGGCCCCCAACAAGATGTATTGACACAGTGGCGGCAGCAGTGGGCTCAAGTATAGCATTGGTTATGAGATTGGTGCAGGATTTGGCAGTGTTTCATTTTGCTGTGGATACCGACTCAACAACAACAACAACAACATCTACATACACACATAATACGTATGTGTATACATATATATATAGAGAGAAAACGGAATTTTTTTTAAATTGAAGCATATAGGATGCTTTATTTTGAGTTATGTGATCGTTTACATGGGTGAACAGTAGCTTCACATTGATCCCATCGTATATTGATTCCTTGCCATGGTTACAATCCCCTCCATGCATCATCCACCAACCATAGGGTATACCCTGTAAGCCTGCCTCCCGGTCGTCAGCACACAGGCCCTCTCCCTCTCAGGTTCAGAGTCCCCAGCCGCTCGTCTCTGCCTCCATCTCTGGCATCACTGCTTCTCTGGGTAGGGTCCCGCTCTCGGCTCTTCTTCCTTGATGGTCCTAGAGACCTCCGCCCCTAGACTGCAAAGTTAATCCCTCCCCTCCCTTTGCTACAAAATGTCTACCTTTACATTTCCAGCCCTTACAGTCAATCCCAATAACAATTAAAACTGAATATATTTTTATAAAAATCAGAAACTCATAAAAGTTGGATTCACCTGAAGATGAAGTGGAATGTTTTTTTAAGTGATGGTAACTTATACAAGAGCTGTAGAACCTGGAACGTAGGTTTTCAGATTTGTCCTCTGTAAACCAGAGAAGGCATTTGCTGCCCTTTACAAGGAAAATACAATTCAGTACCTTTGATGGACAAGATTATCTGTGAAATCAGGAAAAAGCTCTTGAAAGTTTGCCATTATGATGTGCTTTTCTATTGTTGCTGCTATATTCATGAAATGTGTTCTCCACAATTTGTGAGTTTCTTCAAATTAAAAAGATATATATGCTCATGGCCAAAAAAAAATACAGAAAAAGAGTAGTATGAAAAATTAAGCCTCCCCACAAATGGATGCTGTAGGAGGTTCTGTATAACCTGCTCTGTATAACCTGCTTTTTCCTTTATATTTTGGTGATATTTCCATATCAACATGTTGTTGGTTGCTGTGGGGTCAGTTCCTACTCTTGACAACCTCATGTGTCCAGAGTACAATTGCTCCAGTAGGTGTTCAAGGCTATGACCTTTTGGATGCAGATCACCAGGCCCTGAGCAGCCTCTGGGTGGATTTGTGCCACCCAGGAACTCCGCTAGCAAGTTGGTAGTGGTGGTGGTGGTGGTTATGTGCCGTGGAGTCAGTTCCAACTCTTAGCAACCCTGTACGGGGTTTCTGAGGCTGTAAATATTTACGGGAGCAGAAAGCCTCATCTTTCTCCCACAGAATAGCTGGTAGTTTCGAACTGCTGACTTTAAGGTTCGCAGCCCGATTCGTAACCACTACACTACCAGAGCTCCTTAGACCATCCTTATTCTTTTGTAATGGCACATAATGTTCGTGGCATTCCATTCTGTATAACAGGAAGATATTACACACACACACACACACACACACAACCCTCGTAATTAACTAGGTGTATGTTATTGGCTAAGCTGTTTCCAGATTTTTGTGTGCTTTGTGTTGGTTATTGAACTAGTTTTTATTTCTCTTAACAGATTAAGGCTGAGCTTTTTTTTTTTCCATATCTTTATTGGCCATTTCGTGTATTCTTCCGTAAAGTGTTAAATGATTTTTTAAATTGCTATAGCAGTAACTGTTCATTGAATCTCTTACATATTTCTTGTCAAACACTGCTACATGTTCCACTGTGGTAGTGCCCATATAGTCCTTGCACCTCTAAAATATAAGATGATTATTGAGGCCCAGGGTTGCAGGTGTATCAGTGGGCAGAACCAAGATTAAAGCCCAGAAATGTCTCATTCCAGAGCTGGAGAGGATCGTTTCCCCAGCAGACATTCTTTGCAGATGCTTCTTTTAGAGCATAAGAAATACAATGCATGCAGAAATCCTTTGCAGACTGTAAGGTGCTTTGTGAATTTAAAGGATGCAAGGTGAAAGAAGGTTGTAAAAGCTTACCCAGGCTATAGTTAGAAAGTCTCAAGCAAGGATGAAGAATCCTGAATTTACAGGCATCATGAATAGAAGTTTTTTATAAAACCCTTGAAGCAGTAATGAATAGATTATATTCTGGAATATATAGCATGTAAAATATCAGGCATTCCCTTGAATATAGGAAAAGGAAGATATGAGGGGGCTTCAGGAAGTTTGTGGAAAATGGAATTAAAAGGGAAAGGAAAGGAGGAGGAATGGAAATAAATACAGGGAGGACATGTTGGATAAGTGATGTAACATTGAGGAAACTGATCATTGAGATGACGCAAAGTATATATTTTGTTGAATGATCTACTCACAATGATAAGTGAAAAAAAAAGTAGCTAATGCAAAGTTGGGAAAGAAAAAAAATATATATGTATAAAATATAATTTTTCCATGAACTTTTTGAAGCCTCTTTTTATTTGCTTTATCAACTGGCAAAACATGATGGTGACTGTGTGAATTTCACATGGGCAGTGCTGATTTTGGAAGCACTTTCCCATCAGTTTAATTATTGTTCATAGAGCAGCTAGTATTACTACAGATTCAGTGAGGAAACTGTTATTTGGTTGATGCTTAAGACTATGGAGACTAGCAACATGAAATGGTATCACTTGGGTAAGGTCACCATTTGAATGGCTGGTAGAAATCATACTAATGATACTGCTTTTGATATTTACTAATTTAGGAGAGGTTTGTTTTCACATAAAGTTCTGCCAGTTGGATCTCTGTGGTTGCTTTATTTTGATCAGGCATGATCTCTCTAAGTTATTCTCTTTTCTCTCTGCCATCCTCCTCCCTTGTTTTGTAGACTTCAGCGGTTGATTCTGAATCCAACAACGTTCGTGTGCTGGATGAGATTTTGGACGATTCAGCTGACAAACTCTGGGCTGTGACTCACTCTAAGATCTTGGAGGACAGCAAGGACACTCCAACTCTAGAGACCATGATGCTCCGAATGGAAGAAATGGAAGTAAGGCTTGTGCTGGGGACTAGCCTTTGCCAAGTTCAGCTTCTCCTCATGCATCTAGCTTAGCCCTTAGAGTCACATGGGCCTGGCTTAAAGCCCAGCTCCGCTGCCAGCTAAGGGCCTGACCTTGGTAGCATCACTGTTTTTAAAGAGAACATGAGGTTCTCTTTAAGTATTCAGCACACTCACTGAAACAGAACTCAGTAGTGATATTTATTACCGTTCCCTATTACTGTTGTAGAGCCCTGCTGTGGTGCTATGGGGTAATGCGCTGGACTGCAAAGTCGGTTTGAACCACAAGGTCAGGAATTCCAGCTCACCAAGCCGCTCCTCGCAAACCCTGTACAGGGTTGCTATGGGTCGGAACCAACTCAACAGCACTTAACAACAACTATTACTGTTGGTATATAATCCAGTCAACACTGGACCCCAGGGCCTGGTCTCAAGAAAAGAATCATAGGCGTTTTTAAACATTCAACTTCTAAGTAGCATTCAGTTGCTACTTCTACCCTGTTAGAATATGATTTTTTTAAATTGACTTTTTATTGTGAATTGGGTAAAGTTTTACAAAGTAAATTAGTTTTTCATTCAATAATTCCTCATTGATTGCAGTCCCCACACTGAAAACTCACTTATCCACTTCCCCCTTCCTTCCTGTCCCTTTTTCTATTTCCATTCTTCCACCTTTTCTTTCCCTTCCTGCCTTCTGAACTTTGTCCTTGGGCAAGTGCTGCCCTTTTGGTGTTAAATGTTTGATTATTCTAAGGAGTATACCCCCCTAGTGTTATTGTTCACCTTAAGGACTTCTCTATTTTTGGCTATAGGAGACTTGGAGGCAGTTAGGATAAGCACAGGACTGCTAACCACAAGGTCAGCCGTTCAAACCTACCAGCCACTCCACAGGAGCAAGATGAGGCTTTCTGTTCCATCAAGACACCAGACAGGGTCACTATGAATCACAGCCGACTCGATGGTACCTAACCTCCACAGCTGGTGGCTACAGGGATGAGTTCAGCTCCAGACCTGAAGGGTGGTGAGGGCTTTCTATCACTCTCTCTAGGATCAGGAATCCTGTTCTCCGAGAATTTTGAGTTTTGTGCCATAATTTTTTCCCATTCTATCTGGGGCCTTCTAATGCGATCCCTTTCAGAGCTGTCAGTAGTGGTAGGCAGGCATCATCTAGTTCTTCAGATCTTTGTGTCGTGGAGACTGAGGTCTGCAGCGTTACTTAGTCCATTGCACTTATTGTCGGGTTTCCTCACTCTTTGCTCTGGATGGGCATAGAGTCACAGAGAATTGTACTTTCTCTAATATACTGTTACTTTCTCTAATTACTTTTAGAATGTGCCTTGACTTGAATTTTAGGCTTCAGATATTACCCTGTTGAACCCTTGGGTTGTTCAGAGCAGGAATTGAGACACAATAAGGGAGTAAGTATTTGCAAAAACTTCCTGGCAGAGTTAGGTTGGGGCTCCAGGGCTTCAGACACCAATTCAGCCATCTTACTATTTTTTTAAAGTGTACCATGATTGACGCACATTCTAGCTCTGTGGCTAAATAGACACCTAATGAAAATTCTTGTTGATTTTTGAAAATGTAAAGATGTTCTCTTTGCCCTAGTATTGTAGCTGATTTCCTTTTTTGGGAGGTAGCTGTCTAGGCCTGTACTGTACCCAAATGGTAGCCACTGGACACCTGTGGCTATTTAAATGTCAATTAATTAAAATTAAGTGAAGTTAAAGATTTAATACCTCGGAAACACTGTCCACATTTCTGTTGTTGTTGGGTGCTGTTGAGTCGGTTCTGGCTCATAGTGACCTTGTGGGCAGCAGAATGTGACACACTGCTCCGTCCTGTGCCGTCCTCACAATTGTCACTTGGAGCCCATTGTTGCTGCCACTGTGTCTGTCTAGCTCGTTGGAGTCGTCGTCTTTTTTGCTGACGCTTCACTGTTCCAAATGTGATGTCCTTCTCCAGGGACGGATTCCTTCTGTCTACATGTCCAAAGTACATGAGACAAAGTCTCACCAACCTCTCTTCAAAGGAGCATTCTGACTAGACTTCTACCAACACAGATTTGTTTGTTCTCCTGGCAGGCCACGGTATTTTCAGTATTCTTTCCCAACACCATAATTCAAATGCATAGATTCTTCTGTGGTCTTCTTTATTATTGGCCACCCTTCACCTCATTTTTTCATATGAGGTGATTGAAAGTACCAGGGCTTGGGTTAGGTACTCCCTTATCCTCAAAGTGACATCTTTGTTTTGGTGGACAGTAATTAGTTGCTGTTATGTTGAACCCATCACCCATCTGTCAGTTTCTCGTACTGTGGTGTCTGGTGTGTCGCTGTGATTCGGGAAGCTATGCCACCAGTATTTTAAATACCAGCAGCGTCACCTATGGTGGACAGATTTCAGCCTAAGACTAGGAAGAAAGGACTGGCAATCTACTTCGAAAATTAGTCAATGCAAATAGAATATGGTCCAGTATAGTGCTGGAAAATGAACCTCCCAGGTTGGAAGGCACTACACAGTGACTCTAACAGTGGGCTCACACATGGTCAAGGAGATACGGCGCAGGGCTGACGACTTAACAATAACTAACAAAAACTTACTGGACAGAGTATATATCATTTCTGCCGTCACAGAAAGTTCTAGTGGACAGTATCATCTAGATCGTTGTTGTTGTTGTTTGTGCCGTCGAGTCCGTTCCAACTCATCACAAGCCTGTCTAGGTTTTTTGAGGCTGTAAATCTTTGTGGGAACAGAAAGCCTCATCTTTCTCTGATGGAGCTGCTGTTAGGCATGAACCACTGACCTTGTTAATCACTCCCTGATATGACAGACACTTGTTTCTGTATTGTAACTAGACGAGAAAACGGGCCTGGATGAAAAGAATCAACTCTTACATCCTTACTAGTTCTGGTTTGTAACGCCACTCAGTTTTTCTCATAAACTTTTTGTTTTATGTTAAGACATACCAGGAGACAGTTCGCCAAAGATATATTAAATTTGTGTATGATGATCCTCAGGTTTGGATGCAGGAAGGAACAAAAGGTGAGTGTTTATCCACTTCTATCCACCCTCCCACCACCCCACCCCCAATGTATAATGAAAAATTTCAAACACAAAGAAAGATAGGAAAGTTTAATAGTGAACAACCGTATACCTCCCTTATACAATGAGCATTTTGCTATATTTGCTTGGTCACGTATGTTTCCACCTCTGTCCACCCATCCATGCATCTTATTTGGGTACATTTCAGAGTAAGTGGCAGATCTCAGAACACTTCACCCCTGAACACTTGAGCGTGAGTATCAGGAAGTAGAGTTTAATATTGACTTGTGGCTCTGTTTGTTTTGAGATAAAATTTACTCAGTAAAATGCTCAAACCTTAATTCTGTCATTTGGTGAATTTTGACCAATTGCTATCCCTTTATTACCCAAACCCCTATCCTATCATAGGGTCACTGTGGGTCAGAGCCAACTCAGTGATTGGGGTTTGGAGTTTGCCTATCAAGATCCAGAATAAACTGCTGCCTCAAAAAGTTCCACCGTGGCAAGCACTGTTGTCCTGAGTTTTCTTCTATATATTAGTTTTGTTTTGTTTTGAACTTTTTGTTGCAAATTGAGTGAAGCTTTACAGAACAGATCATCAGTTTTATATTCAAGTAACCATTCACTTCCTTTCGCCCCAGTGGTTGCAGTCTCCTCTGTGTAACCTCACTTACCCAGCACTGCCCTGGGCTTCTTGTTTGCATTGCACCTGCTTTCCCCACCCTTCTGAATTTTGTCTTAAGGTCTTGAATGGTTGACCACTCCATGAAGTACATACCTCCCTAGTGGTGTCCCCCCCTAAATACCCAGCTACCACTTGGCTGAAAATTGAGCCACAAAAGTGAGTTCAATTCCAGATCTAAATGACCGAGGGCTATAGTCTAAGGTTCCTCCAGGTTCTTTCGACCAGTAAACCTGTTTTATATTTTTGAGTTCCACCATGTAATAGTTTTGTCTGTTCTAGAATCTTATATAAATGCAGTCACACCGGATGTTCTTTTTGTGTCTGAGCCTTCTTTCAAGTAGCATAATGTTTCATAACCTCTGTTATATGGTTCATTATAAGCACTGGACTGTTAACTGCAAGTTTGGCAATTCAAACCCACCATCTGCTCTCAGAAACCCTATTCAGTCTGACTATGAGCCAAAACCGACTCCATGGCACACAGCAACAATCAGACTGATATCTATGTTGCTTGGCTTGGTTTTCTGTTGCCACTGTAACAAATGATCGCACATTTAGGGGCTTCAAACAATACACCTTTGATCTTTTACAGTTCTAGAAGTCAAAAGTCTGAATGGAGTCTTACAGAGCTGAAGTCAAGGCTCTGGCAGGCCCAGTTCCTCCTGAAGACTCCAGAGGAGGATTTGTTTCTTGTATCTTCCAGCGTCTGAGACTGTTGGCATTCCTTAGCTTCTGGCTGCATTACTCAGATTTTCGCTCTCATATTCTCATTCTCTCTATCTTTTCTGTAGTCAGATCTCCCTCTGCCTGCCACTGTGGTTACATTTAGGGTCTACTGGATAATTCAGAGTAATTTTCCCATCTTGAGATCTGAAACTAAATCACGTCTGGAAGCTTCTTTTTGTTAAATTAACAGTCACAGGCTCCAGAGATTAAGATGAGGACATGTTGGGGTGGAGGTAGGGGTGGGGACATGAGCATTATTCAACCCACCACACTTTTATCAGTGGTTCATTCCTTCTTATTGCTGAACAGGATTCTGCTGTATATGGACTCCCGGTGTGGTGCTGTGGGATCAGCACTGGACTGCAAACCATAAGGCCAGCAGTTCAAACCTACCAGCTGCTCCTCAGAAACCCATTCATAAGGTCGCCGTGAGTTGGAACTGACTCGACGGCACTTAACAACAGCAATGACGTTCTACTGTACTAATATCCACAACTAATTTATCTATTTTGGTGTAAGTGATCTATTTGGGCACAACTCGTCTCATCGTCTTCAGTCAAAGTGTTCAGTGCATCATATCTATGCTTGATGATCTCTAAATTCAGGTGGGGTATATGCGAGCTCAAACTTTGGCTCTTATGGACTTACTTTGATTTTCTTCAGTGTCAGCTTCAACTTGCATATGAACAATTGCTGGCCTGTTCCACTTTTGAACCCTGGCCTTTTTCTGACTGGTGAACATCCACATTTTCCAAAAATGTAGTTAATTTGATTCCTTTGTATTCCATCTGGCGAGGTCCATAGTTGGCTGTGTATGTTGTTGAAAAAAGCAGGTCGTCTTCATTCTGATTCAGCCTCTGTTAGAATGTGGTGCACTGCTAACTGTTGTGGAAATGGCAGGTTCCCAGCAGGGAGTCAGAAAGGTGTGAAGCCCAGGAACAAAGTATTTCCAATGAATAGGTGTTCGCTCTTACAAAATTCTCTCAGATGATCGCTAGGATCATTGTATCATCAGACCATATTTTCCAACTACTAATCCTTTGTGCCTGCCTTTTGTATTCCGATCACCCGATATTACCGGTGCATCTTGATTCTATGTCATCAGTTTCAGACTTTAAAAGTTGATAAAAATCTTCATTTCTTCATCTTTATCATCAGTCATTGCTTTGTCAATTTGGCTAACAGCCACGATGATCTTCCTTATGTTGTTGTGTGCAACGAGAGTCAGTGTCAGTTCATAGCAACCCTGCAGAGGGTTTCCAAGGAGCAGCTAGTGGGTTTGAACCGCCAGCCTGTGGTTAGCCGTCCGGTGATTGTGCTACTCCCTGCAATTATAGTAGGAGATTTTAATGTACTACATTCCATGGAAGACAACTACTAAAAAGAAATTCAGCCAAGATGCAGAGCTAAACAACATAATCAACTAACTTGGCCTCGTAGACATATATGTAGAACACTCCATCCAGCAACACACTATACATTCTTTTCCAGTGTACATAGAACATCTTCCAGAATACACCGTATCTTAGGCCACACATCAAGCCTCAATAAATTTGAAAAAAAGTTGAAACACTGCAAAGCATCTTCACAGCTCACAATGCTGTAAAATGAGAAATCAACAACAGATAAAGATCCAGGAAAAAACTCAAACACAGGAGAATTGAATACCACCGTTTTTAAAAACTACTAGGTAATAGAAGAAATAAAAATGAAATTTAAAAATTCCTTGAGTCAAATGAGAATGAAAACCTTTGGGATACAGCAAAAACAGTGTGCAGAGGATAATTTATAATAAATGCATACATCCAAAAAAGAAGAAAGAACCAAAGTTAACACCTTAAACCAACCTCTCCAATAATTAGAAAAAGAACCAGCAATGTAAGTCTGCAACTACCAGAAGAAAAGAAATAATATAGATCAGAGCAGAAATAAATGAAACAGAAAAACAAATGAAGAAGTTGGCTCTTTGAAAGGATTAACAAAGTTGACAAACCATTGGCAAACCTAACAAGAAATGAAGAAAGATGCTCTTTACCTAAGAAACAGGAAAATTTTCCTGTATACTTGAAATAAATGTCACGTGATAAATAATCCACTGCTCCAAAGGTTGTCAGGCCTGCAAGGAAACTGAATGTAGAAGGTTTACACTTGTGCCATGTCACATCCAATTACTTTAAAATATGAGCCTGGGATTTCTTCTAGAAAAAGTATTCTCCAAGTCAAATTTGACAGAAAGATGAACCACCTAAACCAAAATACTAACGTGTTTCTTTTAGGTTTTGCATAATTGTCAGGCACTGTTCTTTTGCTCTTGTCGTCTTACTCCAGCCCTATTTTGGTTCCCATTTTTATCCTCACATAAAAATGAAATCATTCTACAGGGCCCACCTCAGGTAATTCTTTTCTTTCCCTTGATAAGGAAACTACTGAGACTTTGCTACCTTTGTCTCTTTTTTTACGTTTGAACTCACGTAGCACTTTGTGATATACCTGTGGGTTCGGATTATTTGTGATGGTGCCCTATCTCCCCCCAGCTCAGCCACAGGTTCTTTGAGGCCAGAGTGTTTTTTCCTGTTCAGTTCTGTGGCCCCCACACTGTGCCTAACAGAGACCTGGCACTGAGCGGACTCTTCTAATCCTCAAGGGAACCAGTGGGCATTGTAACATGGTTTGCGTATGCATTCTTTTTAGAGCAAAGTGAAAGAGAAATGAGTTTCACTGGTGGCCCAACGTTAGGTTATATCACACGAGAAGACAGGCACACAGAGGACTCTGGTCTTTTTTTGAAGGACAGTTTAAATGATTAGTCACTGACTATAGCTAGGAGCCAGCCACTCCTTGGAAACACTATACAGGCTTGGTGTGAGTCAGAACCGAACTCAACGGCACTTAACCAACAGCAACATAGCTGTGCATAGAGTCTAACTGTGTATCGGAGCTCTTTATAATTCCAGAATCATAAAATCCTAGTCAAACTCCTAGTGTACGTTGATTGTATGTTCAGTTACATCACAAAACCAAATTTAAAATGCTGTTTTTCCTTTTGCCATTTCCAATGTATACCTCTTTTCCTCTCCTTCTGTGAATAATTGAACATTGATTGCACTCTTTGCTAATATTTTTCCAAAAACTTGTTTATGTATTATTTCTGTTTGACAGAAATCATAAGCATCTAAGTGTGAGTCAGAAAAAAGGTGGTTTGGCTGAAAGATGCCTCTTTACCTAAGAAAAGGGCAAATTTTCTTCTACACTTGAAATAAATTTAAAATGATAAGTAATACACCACTCACAAGGGCTGTCAAGCCTGCAAGGTATAGTTAATAAATTAATGTTTTGACTGTCGTCATGCTGATTTTTTCAAGCACCACCCAGAGACAAATCAGCTCATTAAGTGTTCAGGTGTGGGTGGTGCGCTCCTTCCCAGTAAGCAAACCATTTGAAAGTTAGAAAACAGCTCAACTGCTTAAGACTTTTTGAGTGGTGGCCTGGGGCTCTGCACAGACCTCTCCCTAGAGCTTCTGATGCTAGCAGAGGGGAGTGCCAGTTACTTCTGAGACCAGATCAGTTTTTGCTATTGAACTTCTAGCTAGCTGTTAAGCGATACATGTGTTAATTTACTTAAGAGGTTCTTGGCCACTAGGGCAGTAATGGTTAAATGCCATCCAGTTGATTCTGACTCATAGTGACTGAGGAATGATGGATGGGTTTGAACCACCGGCGTAGCAGTTAGCAACCCAGTGCTTTTCCTACAGTGCCACACCAGCATATTAGTTAGAATTGATAATTTGTACATGGACTTTACTTTATATGCAGTCGTTTTTTGCCTCCCCTTTTCTAGACCAAAAGGCTTCAGCAGTCAGTGAAAGACCCCTGCCCCCTCATCCATTCAGGATCACAAAGGCAGCAGCTCGCAAAGACCCAGACCTGAGCATTGTGTTTGAAAAGCCTTGGAATGGCAAGTAAGTGGTAACTGATTTTCTTGAAACTGATTGCCCTTGAAATTTGAATTCCTTTGATTCAAACAAGGCAGAAAGAAATTCTCTTGAACAAGATTTTGCCAAGCCTCAGGTGTAGTTGTTATTGGGTGTCTTCTAGTTGGTTCTGACTCATAGAGACCATATGCACAACAGAATAAAACACAGCCCTGTCCTGCATCATTCTCACAATCATTGTTAAGCTTGAGCCCATGGCTGCTGCCACTGGGCCAGTCCATCTCATTGGCGGTCTTCCTCTTTTTTGTTGACCCTGCACTTTACCAAGTATGATGTCCTCCAGGGACTAATCCCTCCTGACAACCTGTCTGAACTATGAGAGACAAAAGTTTGGCCTTCCTGGTTTCTAAGGAGCATTCTGATTGTACTTCTACCAACACAGATGTGTTTGGTCTTTTAACAGTCCATGGTACATTAAGTACTCTTCTCCAGCACCACAACTCAGATGTATCAATTCTTTTAAGGTCTTCCTGATTCATTGTCCAACTTACACATGCATATGAGGCGATTGAAAATACCATGGCAAAAAAGAAAGAAAGAAAAGAATTGACCATGGCTTGGGTCAGCTGTACGCACGTTGGTCCTCAAGCTGACATCTTTGCTCTTCAGCACTTTAAAGAGGTCTTGTGCAGCAGATTTGCTTAATACAATATGTCATTTGATTTCTTGACTGCTGCTTCCATGAGTAATGATAGTGGATCCAAACAGAATGAAGTGCTTGACAACTTCACTCTTGTCTCCATTTATCATGATTCTATTTATTGGTCCAGTGTTGAGGATTTTTGATTTCTTTACAGTGAGGTGCAAGCCATACTGAAGGCTGTGTTCTTTGATCTTCATCAGTAAATATCTTAAGTCCTCTTCACTTTCAGCAAACAAGGTTGTATCATCTGCATATCGCAGGTTGTTATTCAGTCTTCCTCCAATCCTGATGTCATGTTCTTCATATTCTTTGCTTAGGGTACAGATACATTAGCTAAACTAAACTTCAGATTCTTTAGCTAAACCCAGCTGCACTTATTTTTTAAACAAGTGTGTTGCTGTTACCTATGCATGTAGTAAAATCACATATTTATAAGCTAAGCTTTGAATATACTGCATCTTCACAATCCTTTTCATGTACAGTAGCATTTTGTGGGTATTGACCATTGAAGGCACCACATTCCTGCATGTGGGTTGTGCTGATAATAACTGTAAGGCTTGCTTAGAGAACTCTTTGTCTGGGGACAGGAATTCCTACCCTGGCGAGGGTTAGTCTTGTGAGGAGCCGAAACATTAAGTGGTGGTGGGAGGCGGAGTTCTATTCAGGAAGCAAAAGGGAAATGAAGAGGAAGCCTTTTGTGATCAAACCATTGGGGAATAAACAGTTTGCCTATGCTGACCAATTATCTTGAACGCTCTATTCTTTTTTTTTGCTCAGTTCCTTGGATGAAAGTTTGGGAACAGAGGAGAGACTGAAGAAAAGAGAGGCGCCCCTCCCGGAAGGTGCTGAGCCGTGTGAAGGCCGAGCCCGCCTGTTCATCCCTCCGGCCATGCTGCATAGCATTGGGGACTATTGCAGTCGCTTTGAGCACTACCTCCGGATGGTTTCTCATGAGGCCGTTGGCTCCTTCAACCCATGGGTGATAGCTGAAAGGTCAGTAAAATGCAAATGTTCGACCTACAGGAATGCTGAAGGAAGCACCGGTCCAGGCCCCGTATCGTGATTTAAAATGGTGCCCCATGTGTGTCTGAGCACAGTGGCTGAATTTTTGGAAGTAGGTTGCCTCTAGGTGGGTTTAAGCTGCTAACCTTTTGTTTCATAGCCCAGCACTTAACTACTTGTGCCACCCAGGCACTGCCATGTCGAGCCGTAGGACCCTGGGATTCAAATACTTGCTCTTAGGCTGGTGGGAAGGCTTTCTCTGCTAACTGCCTTTTTCAAACACAGGAGACTAGAAACCATCATGGGTAACGACACCCGAAGGACCCCTCTGCCACCTCCCTTACTCAGGAGTCTCATTAGAATGAGTTCCCTGTTGCTGGTAGTGAGGTCGTGTCCCCGGAAACATTTTTGGGCAGAGAACAGTCTGAACTGGCTGGCGTTTGTAAGCAGCAGGTCTTCCGGGTTTGTAGCATTTTTTTTTAACACCTCTCCTCCTGTGGGTCACCTCCCTTGGGAAAGGTAAGTTTCCCAACACTGCCCTACCAGCTACTGAGTATTTGAAAGGAGTATGGTCCTTCTTTTGTTTTCTGCCTACATATGCATTTTAAGTAAATAAATACAAATAAGTATCCATATAGCCTGACTGCCAGATACCAAGAAAAAATAATAAAAGTGGTTGCCGATGTATGGATCCCCTGGGCCAAGAGATCTGAGGCTTCTGGAGTTTCCTGATACAACCACATCTCCTTACTTTTCTTTATTTTTATCAAATATGTATGTTGTTGTTAATCACCATCAAATCGATTCCAATTCATAGCTACCCTGTATAGGGTTTCTGAGGAGTGGCTGGTGGTTTGAACCACCGACCTTGTGGTTAGCTGTCCAGTGCTGATCCTGTGGTGAATATGGGCCTTCTTTTGTGAAGGGGCATCAAAAAGTTATGGAAAAATGCACTATCTTTTCATTCCATTTTCCCTGAACTCTTTTAAGCCCCCACAAATGTGTAAAATATGTTAATCTTTTCGTTCTTTTAAACTGGGGCCTAGTTGAGATTCCTATGGATGTCACAGTTTAAGAACCTTTTGGTGGCATTTCTTTAATGCAGATAGATGAATCCCTGGGAAGGGCAGGGGTGCAGGGGCTGGACTTTTTAAGTCTTTCCTTTCTCCTCAGAGGAGAGTTTGCTAAATGCTCACCTTCCAGGACTCTGGGGAAGCTCAGAAGGCATATTGGATGTGAATGTACTTGGAAGGCCTATGTTGCTACTCCCTTTTTTAGTGTAAGTAAACGTCTTCGAATTATTTAGTGAGTTCTGCCTCAAGGAGAGTGCTTTTAAAATAAGTGTGTTGCTGTTACTTATGCATGTAGTATTCTACTGAGTTACAAAGTCTCTCATTAAAATGGATCCATGTAGTACATACCAATGATTTTTCAAACATCAGGTAGTGGGAAACACCAGTTTCTCTCTTCACTTTCCAAGTATCTAAGCCTGTTCCATCAGGACAACCCTTGTCATTGTCTTTGCTTCATCGTTGGTATTTATTTACCTTTGATTCCTAATACTTACACCCGTATCTTAATTTGAATTTAAAACATTGGACTCTGAGTTCATATTATGAAAGCCTAGGATTTCACTGACGTGCGCCTCCCCCCAACAGTTCCTGCTTCTCCCAAATACGTTCTAATTCCTAGATAAAGCAGTATTCAGAGATTACTACAAATAGACAGCTCCCTTCCATTGAGCCGAGTTTTAGAGCTATTCCAGGGGTTAATAATTGTTTCTTTTTTATTTCCTTCTTTTGTGTACTTATTGTTAACTTCTCCCACTCATTCTCCAACCTAATTTCCTCAGGGTCAAACAGCTCATCTCTCTCTGCCCCTCGCCCCCCTGAAGCCCTGTTTCCTCCCCCAGCCTGGCCCGCTGCTCCCTAGCTCTCTGCTGCAGGCTTCTGTCCTGGGACTTCATCACCACCCTGATGTTGGATTGCTTCCGGTGTGGACTGGATTCCTCAGTGTCTAGCACACTTGTCTTCCCCTTTCTTGATTTAAGTCTCGTATTTTGACAGCACATATCCTACTTGGTGTACTGGAGGGACTTTTTTAAGACTCACTTCAAAGTGTCTTTATTCTGCCTTCACACTTGACTGATCACTTGCCTGGGTTAGAAATGACTGATTGTTTTGTTTTTTTCCCTAAAAATATTCCTTCCTTCTATAGGGGTGAAGTGGGGGAGGGGATTGTCACTTAGCAGCCAGGAGGAGGGTGAGAACTTGACTTCTCATTCTGTAGACTGGGAATCAGTTTCCTTCTTACCCCATACCTCCCTCACATAGCAGATGGAGGCAGCACTGGAGGCACTCACTCCTCTGTGCCAAGACATATGGAAGATAGCTGCCTGGCCAGTTGATTGGAAGAGATGCCCATTCCAAAGACAGGTGATGCAGCGGAATGTGGAATCATCCAGCAGTACCATTCATATCGGGTACGTGGTGGCTCCATACAACAAGCACTGGACTTCAAACCATAAAGTTGGCAGTTGGAGTTCACCAGCCACTCCACAGGAGAAAAATGAGACTTTCTGCTCTCACCAAAATGTACTGCCTTGGAAACAACTCGATGGCACTTAACCATATCCTTAATGTCACATGAAAGTAAAATTATTCTGAAGATAATTTGAAAATGGTTACAGCAGTACACTAACAGGGAACTGCCAAAGTTTAGCATGGATTCCAAAGAGGACATGGAACGAGGGATATCAATGCTGATATCAGAATTAATCTAGAAGAAAAGTACAAAGTGCCAGAAACACGCTTACCTATGTTTTATTGATAAATGGAGAAAGATAAACATTGCCAAGGCTTTCATTTTACGTGGATCCATAATCAACACCCATGGAAGCAACAGTCAGGATAGCAAATGACGCACTGCTGTGGTCAACTGCTGCAAAAACCTCTTTAAAGCATTAAAGAGCAAAGATGTCACCTTGCGGACTGAAGTGTGCCTGCCCCAAGCCCCATGGTATTTTCAGTCACCTCATATGCATGCAAAAGCTGGACAGTGAATAAGGAAGACCAAAGAAGAATTGTGGTGTTGGTGAAGAATATTGAATATACTACTGACAGAACAACAAATAAATCTGTTCTGGAAGTACACCCAGAAGTACTTTGGACATGCTATCAGGAGGGACAGGCCCCCGAGGACATCATGTTAAAGTAGAGGGTCAGTGAAAAGAAGAGGACCCGAAAAGAGAGGGGTTGACCCAATGGGCTCAAGCATAGCAGGCTTGTACATGGGATTGCTGTGAGTCAGAACCAACTGGATGGCACCTAACAATAAAACAGCACTCGCCTCACCCTTGATGCTCCCTGTACTCCTGTCTCCTGAGTCTTCCTGCTGTTTCCTGGGAGACGTCAGCTTGCTTTCCCTGGACATCGCCTTCTCTAGGCTCAGAGGCTCCAGGTTCCCTGAACTTCCTCTGAACTGCGAAATCAGTTGATTCTTCCAGGTGTTTTTCCTCTTCTGAAGACTTTGGTTATGTCGCATATACACTTTTCAGTTGGTTTCCCCCTTGTAGGTTTAAGTGATTGCTTATTTCCCTTATTTTAGTGAAGTTTGGGCAAGAGCAAGGTGAGGCACTTCAGTTCAACCCTCATCTGTAGCTGCAAGTCCAGGAACTTTTAACATATCCGCCCACGGCCATGGAGTGGGCTCCCACTCAGAGCAAGCCTAGAGGGCAGAGCAGAGCTGCTCATTAGGGTTTCTGAGACTGTGGACTTTTGCAGAAGCAGGTTAGCTTCGTCTTTTTCCCATGGTGGGTTCAAACTGATGACCTTTGGATTAGCAGCCCATCACTTAAGCCGCTGAACCACCAGGGCATGCAGTGCTCTTGAAAGATGTGAGAAGACTCCAGTGCACATGTGTCTCCCCTTTGTGTGGGGAGAGAATAAACTAGACCTACTCCTGTGCCCAGACATGCAGTTCTGCAGTGTGCTCGATGCTTTTTCCATCCGCTATCTGGTCGGTTAGGTAAAATCCAGAAACAAAGCCAAGGAAGAGAGTTTTCCTTGTATGTTTTTACCACTTGATTAAATACTGCATTTGGTTCATAAGTGGTTTGTAGATGTAAGGAAAAACTTTCTCAACCTATAAGAAATATTAGATTAAAATCTAGAGGGCAAAGCTATTAAAAATAGGCCTAGATGTTTAAATCTGTGTTGGAAGAAGTACAGTCTGAATGCTAATTCTTAGAAGCCAGGACGGCAAAACTTCATGTCTCATACTTTCGGACACGCTATCAGAAGGAACCAGTCCCTGGAGAAAGGCATCATGCTTCGTAAAGTGGGGTGTTGGAGAGAAAGAGGAAGACCCTCTGTGCAGTACATTGACACAGTGGCAGCAGCAATGGACTCAAACGTAATGACCATTGTGAGGATGGCGCAGGACCGGTCCTGGTTTTGTTCTGTTGTGCATAAGGTCACTGTGAGTCAGAACCGACTCAGTGGTACCTAACAGCAACAAAGAAACAGATGTTCTCTTCCTTGGCCATGCTCTGCCCCCCAGGTGACATCACATCTCAATATGCTAGCTTTAGTTTTCCTAATAACTCCCATTTTTGCTTCTTATTTGAATGTTCCAAAGCTGAGATCAGTTCCTGAAAAAGAAGCCAAAGGGTTGACCCCACTGAATAGTCTCTGAGGTGAGGCAGAAGCTAGCTAAGGCTTTACTTGCTTTTTAAGGTCTTAATTCTTGCTTGCACCTGAAGAAAATAGCACTGTCCAGCGAATGGAGTGGGGGGAGATGCTGTACTGGATGGAAATCAGAGTGGCTGAGAAAGGGAAGGCATAAAGTGGCAGTGCTTTTGATGAAAGCAAACTCTTAAGGATTCCCAGTTTCAAAAATGAATAGACGTCTGGTTGAAAAGAACAGTTTAAACATACTAACATATATTTCTGGCTCCATCCCCATTCCCCCCACTCACCCACCCACCCATC